TTATTCAGTGTACATTTGTTGTGTATGTGTTTTGCTTCATTCAGTATATAGGTTTTATTAATTAAGTAGTCGATATGATATTCGAGTGAAAGATATCTTATATTTTGGTATGGATTATAATATATAACAATTTTACAGGAATTGAGACAGTAAAATATTATTTATTCTATATAATTATACAATAATGATATTGCTCAAAGAAAATGTTCAAAACAAAAATATTGCTTGCACCATGCACAACGTATAAGCCATTTTACCACAAATGCTACATTTTGGTATACGTTTTTCTCTTTTAAAATAACAATAATCGATTGGATTATGAAATTTTTCAGGCCATGTTGATAATAACCATTTTTATACCAGCTATATCTAAATAAATTTCGAAATCTTGGAGAAGACAGTTGATTGTGTGTTAAAGATTGCAATTTTATTATGTTATTACGTAAATTTATGTCATAATTATTTATAATAACACTATCAGAAAAGCTTCGAACAAAATTTTTCCAGATTCTGAAACCAAAAAACATCTAATGGCTGTATAAAAGCAGTTGTTTTTTTGGTATTGTTAGAATATTTACATGTTTGTCTTTTGGTACAAGTTCTTCCAATTCGGTTCGGAATGTCCTGTCCATGAATCAGCAGTAGTATACTTTTCTCTCCAGTGTTTGGTAGATACACTTCTTGGAACCAATTTTTGAAATGTTCAGTTGTCAATTTCCCTGATTTTGAAGCCGCAATGTAAATATTCACTGGTCTAAAAAGAGTTTGTTCTACTTGTGGTCCAAAAACACCAGTAGATTCTTTTAATACTATATACAAAGGCGAAAGGAGATGTCCATCTGCAGATATAATAGGCATAATGGTGTAGCTATGAGTCATAGCAGATAAAGATTGGATAGTAGCTCCAACTGTCTTCACTCCTACATTAGCTAATGTTCTTCCTGTATGTATTTCTAAATTAAAGCCACTTTCGTCCGCATTATAAGTTGATTCAGCACCGATTACATTAATATGTGGCTTTACTGTATTTACAAATTCCTCAGCGTTTTGACGTATAGTTAGATCAGTTAAATGAGAAGACCGCGTTTTAAATGCAGTTATTTTACGTGATGTAATACGATGTGCCTTTTTAAAATTCCATATCCACCAATTTCCTGCTTTAAATGAAGAAAAATCCACTTGTTCCTTTGCTTCTAGTGCCCATTTTCGCAGATTTATATCATGAATAATAAGTCCTCTATTAACAGCTTCTTGGAATTTTATAAGAACATATTCAGCAATAACTACAAGTTTGTCTGTATTTGAACCCTCACGCATTACATGTTCTTGCCATCTGTGCAATTGTTGAATAGATTTTACCTAGAAGAAAACAAATCTCAATATTAAACAATTCGAATTCAAAAATAAAAGAAGTTATATACGAATTAAATGTTCACGAAACATCAAATTGTAAAACTTAAAATAAAAAACAACGCGACTCTAACTATATAATTTACAGCTTTGGTCATAAGTATAAAGCATCTCTAACTCATTGTATTTTCCTAGAAATCAATGCATATACTCATAATAAATATATAATCTCTTTACAATAAATATTATATTAATATTTTATAATATAATGTGTATATTATATTTATGTATATTATATTTATATTATAATTTATATTATATTAATATTATATTATATTACAATAAATATTGTAAAATAAATATTATTTTCCACATATTCTTATATTATATTTTTTTATTATATTATTTTTCCATATACTCGTATACTATATTATGTTCTCCATATATTCATATAGTATGTTTTTGTTACACAATTTAAATAAATTTTTTGGGATGCTTTATACTTATAGTCAAAGCTGTATGTACAATGACCGACAATGATGCGTTCCGCGAGAGGGGAAATAGAGTTCTCTCTGTCGCGGAACGAATCACTGCCGGTCACTGTACACCGTAAAAGCCTCAAGTATTTTACTATATATTATTCTTCTTATTTTTTAATTAAACTTTACTTTTCTAAAACGATGTTGTACAGAAGTAAGAGATAAATGTCCTTTCTTTCCACTCTTCCAAAATTCGATTGCCTTTTTCTTATAATTTAAGTTTACATTTCCACCTTCATCATCCACAGTGCAAACTTCATTTCCATAATTATCTTCTTCAGCATCAATATCGTACACATCTACAAATTGTACGTCATGCGGTTCTGATGGATCGTCAAAATCAAGTCCCCACTCATGTTCGATAGTAATATCGTGATGTATAGCACTCTTTATTAAATCAGTAATTGTATCATGGAGTTCCACCTCTTGATGATTAACAGGAGTTATTGCAATATTTGTGAAATGAAATGTCGCAATTAACAAATTAATAACATTAGCTGGATTTATTACTGACATTATGATACAAATCTTAAGGATATTTTAATTAAACATTTCTCACAGCAATAATAATATACGTACTGCTTCAATAACTGCTTCAATAACACTGAAATGTATTCCAAAATGGACAGCTTTTATATGCAAATGAATGAAGATAACATATGTCAATATAATGAACCTTGATTGCACTGTACTTGATAAAGAGTGCTATTTTGGTCGCACAGTCATAAAACTTGTGACAAGTGTTTTGCATGTTGCCATGATGTACACACACGTGCGCACGTACAAAAACACACATACACACACACATATTTATTTATATTTACGCGTGTCGTTTAAATTAATGAAAAAGGTAGCCGCAATGTTGGCAAAATAAACGTCTATTACGTGAAATTTTATAATTTATAACATTTTTAAATATTAGTGACTGTATCCTTATCATGCTATTTTTCTCCTACTTACTTCTTAACATCAACTTTATTGCTTTTTTAGATTTTCTATTTTCTTCCTTCCTTATCTTTTACAGTTTGCAATTATGAGGAAGATTTGAGGAAGAAAGAAATGCCATCGTCAAGTAGCGAATCCTTAAGTTTGGTACGCGTAGCATACATATAAGAGCATGTTTAATTTTTTTTTCAATATTGCCTTTTCCAAACATAATGTTATTATATATGGTTGAATTTGTCATAAAATAAGCTTTATTTTGGTTGGACAATTGACTTTAAGAATTTGAAAAAAGAGAAGGAGGGGGGGTATTTTATACACAATTTTACATTTTTAAAAAATCTAAATATAGCATAATAAAGTACTTTTAAAACCATAAAACTTTTGTCTAAAACATTTTTTCATATCTTTAATAGTTTCGATAATATTCGCTTAGAAAGACAAAAATCAACTTTGTTCAAGGGGTTGTTTCCACCCTTAAAACCGTTTTTGGGCACCAACGAAAAATTGTTTTGTTATTAGGTATATCTGCTCTACAATTATGCAGAGTTTCAGATTTTTTTGAATTTCCGCGTTGCCAAATGTCCCTTGTCAGTTTATAAGAGGTCTCGTTCCGCTTGTAACTTCTTATCAAAATATTTGCTCTGTCCATCAATTATTACATTAAATTCTCAACTTACGAACATCCCTTTACAATTCTTAAGTACCTGAAACAAGTTGCACAAGATATACATGATGAAAGAGATAAGTTTGTAGCTTTAATATGGGACGAAATATCTCTGCAGTCTGCTTTAACTTATGATAAAACACATGATAAGATCATCGGATTTGAGGTCATAAGAGAACAGTAAAAATTGCAGATCATACTATCGCTTTTTATTTACGATGCTTAAAAATGAAATAAGATGCCTTTAGGATATGGTTTTTGTCAAGGTAGTATTAAGACATTTCAACTAGTACGATGTACAAAGGAATGGCTGTTTCATATAATTAAGTGCGGCTTGGTACCAGTAGCCACAGTATGTGACCAAAGTGCTACTAACATAGCAGCAATCAATGCCCTAATAGATGAGAGTAACAAGATTTATATTACAACGAATATACACAGAGGTACAATTACTATACTATTAAATAATATTTTTATTAACAATCGTATATAACAAAACAATTTTCTACAATTAATAATAATAACATTCATGTTGTTTCAGATGGCTTCTTTATAAGAGGAAAAAAATTATCCCAATATTCGATTATGTACACTTAATGAAGGGAATTAGAAATAATCTGCTAATAAAAGACTTATGGACAAATACAAATATAAAACCTAATGAAAAAAAGAAATATGTTTCTTGGGATGACATTATTATGTCATACGAAATTGATAAATTTTCTTTTCTCAAACTACGTCAAATGTCAAAACTAACAGATAAACATATTTATATTAAAATGATTCCCAAAATGAGAGTGAAATATGCGACTCAAGTTTTAAGTTGTACTGTTTCCAACTTTATAGACGTAATCCTAAATTTTAGTGAAGGTAAAATTATATTTAAAATCTGTGAAATTGTGCGTAATATGTAAACATATGATTTTTATATATTTTCTATAACTTACTGCATTATATCCTTATTATTGCAGGAGTTGTTAAAACACAGCATGGTAATTTAACATTCTCTGAAACCGCTGAAACTACATCCACCGTCTTATCATTTTTCAATGATTTGTTTGATTCCTTTAATGGGAATAGAGGACAAGGACTGAGCAGCATATTAACAGCAAACAGTGGATATATTTCTTTCTGGAAAGAAGCATGCAATAAATTAAAAAACATGCAATATGTTGAAAAAGGAACTCGTCAAATAATTAAAAAGAATGGCCCAAAATATTTGAAAAACTGGTTTCGTAATATTAAAGTTGTACAAGAGATATGGAACATATTACAGGATGCTAATTTTGAAACATTCAATTTGAAGTTTCTTTCATCAGGATGTTATCGAAAACTTTTTCAGCTAAATTAGAAATTTTAGAGGCAGTAATAATAATCCAAATCCGAAGCAATACCAAGAAGTATTCAAAGCTTTGTTAATATGCAATGTAACATCTAAGCATTCTTTTGGAGCAAACTGTGCAGAAGATAGTGTAGGAACATATTTAGCTCTATCACATTTGATGGATTTGGGTGAAATAGCACACGAAAGAGAAGCTGTCGAGCAAGATATAGAAGAAACAGAAGAAACACCTATTTCTCAAACTACAAGTACTGAATTAACAATAGATCCTCCCAAAATTATTACGATTGTTAGTCATGATCAGAATGTTGTAGAATGCGCAATATGTTCCAATAATCTGAACGATGCAAAATTTTACATTTTATACAACATATGATTGCTACACTTGAAATTAAATTCCTAGATATTTGCTGTGAACTTAAAGTAGCAGATAAGATACAAACAATTTTAGAAAGAGAAGAGCATTTATTGCCATTACTGTCGCAATGTACACATTTAATAACAACATTTTTTACAACTATAAAATATCAATTTATTAAAACTTGGTGTACATATATCAACAACATTTTATGTAAAATGATAACAACAGATAGCGATAATTATGTGTATAAAGCAGCAATGCGAATATCAACAAAATATGCAAAAAAAAAACAATGAAAAAAATAAAGTAAAGAATGAGTATACATTGTTTTAAATTGTTTATTTTTTCAAAATTGCTTTTTAGTTATTCATTTTATTCCAAATCCAATAAATTGATTAAAATTTAAATATAAAATTAAATATAAAACGAATAAGAGCTCATCTTTATCGATCGGTTAGTTACTTTGCTACGTAGTTCATATATTATTGGGAGTCATCTTTTAGATGGCGTTAAAACATTGGTCAGAAATTTTACATGGGAGTTTAACAACCCTGGTTACCGTCAAACCGCGTCATTGGCGCCATTTCCATTTGTTGACATCTGATAAAGATTTTCAACTCACAACAATACAAGTTTCATACAACAGCATAGTTTGTAATAGCGTTGAACATGTCGAATTTTGTGCCTGGAAGCTACGATTTGCGGGCAGCATTGATTTTCTGTTACCATTTGAAGAAAACTGTTGCAGAATCGCATCGAATGCTTGTCGAAGCTTACGGTGAGCATGCTCTTGGTAAATCACAGTGCTTTGAGTGGTTTAAAAAATTCAAACGTGGCGATTTTGACGTGAGAAACGAAGAACGTGGAAGACCACCGAAAAAGTTTGAAGACAACGAATTGCATTGTTGGATGAGGATGACGCTCAAACACAACAACAACTCGCGGATCAATTAAATGTGACACGAGAAGCCGTCTCCATATATTTGAAAGCCATGGGAAAGATGCAGAAGATGGGAAAATGGGTTCCACATGAACTGAATGAAAGACAGCAGGAAAACCGAAAAACCACTTGCGAAATATGCTGCTCGCCAGGTACAAAAGAAAGTCATTTCTCCATCGAATTGTGACTGGCGATGAAAAGTGGATATATTTTGAGAATCCTAAGCGTGAAAGATCATGGGTAACTCCAGGCGGACCATCGACATCGACTGCAAGGTCAAATCGCTATAGACGGAAGACAATGCTTTGTGTTTGGTGGGATCAGAAGGGCATGATCTATTATGAGCTGGCTGAGCAGCGCTTCACTTCTTACGAAAATGTACGAAAATGGCTCGATGACTGGTTTGCCTCAAAAGAACAATAGTTTTTTTAGCGTGGCATCCACAAATTGTCAGACAGGTGGGAAAAATGTATAGCTAGCGATGGGCAATACTTCGAATAAAATATTTTTTATCATTTTCATATAATAAACGTGTATTTTCTATACAAAAATTCCGGTTTCATATTTATATACCTGGTATATAGTGCCCGCCAAAAGTTCCGGGCCACTTAAATAACTTCTGAATGGTTTAAGATATTGGATTGAAATTTATAGGGATACAATGGAATTACAAAATTATCATTTAACCACAAAAACACCGACATCTACATTACAGGAGGGCGGGGAGAGAGAGAGGTCGGAAAATCTTAAATGATATACAAGGTTGAGTGAGGGCTCGTTTGAAAAGGCTTTCCCTGACGAAAACAATGCAGGGTCGTTGAGATCTTTATGACTTTTTTTCGCAGAGTTATGATCATTTAAACATTTCTATTGAAATTTTGCGATAAAGAGACCACGGCGAGTAAGATAAGGCTTCACGCGTATTTCTAAGTAGGTAGAAGTACATGTGTGTGTGTGTGTGTATGTGTGTATGCGTGTTGCGTTCGTGCGTGCACGCGCGTGTATTCGTGTTCGCCGCGAGAATAAGGTCTGTAGTTCGTCAGTTCTACAGTATTTCACGACTCCAGACCTTGCCGCGAAAAATGCAGCTGCACCCATAAAGTTCCTAATACTGATGTATGTATAAAGGAATAAAAACACTAATTATTTTATTAAATGTTCGAATTGGTGTCCTTCGACAATTTGGCAGTGTCCTAAGAGAACGTAAAACATATCCATAACGTTAGTTATTAGATCTAGTGTGATTGAATTCGAAATGTTCACTATTTTTTCTGACAGCTCTTATAAGTTTACGGACTTAGTCTCATATACTTTGGCTTTTAAATATCTCCAGTAAAAAAATTCCAATGAGATCAGATCTGGTGATTTCGGTGGCCATTCTATTGTATCTCTTTTACCAATCCATTGATCAGTAAAAACATCGTTGAGAAGGTTTCGAGCTTCCAGAGAAAAATAAGCAGTGGAGCCCCATCCTGCTGAAACCAAACATTGTGGAAAACATCTTCAGCAATATCCTAAATAGCCGGTATCACTTGGTTGTTTAGTAAATTGCAGTAATTTTGTGAATTTATATTTCGTTCAATGAAAAACGGTCCTATAATATGATTAAACATTATTCCGGTCCAAACATTAAGTTTCTGAGGATACTGCATGTGACTGTCTCTCATCTAATGCGGATTTTTATCTGTCTAGTATTTTATATTCTGTCGATTTACAGAACCGTTTAATTCAAATGTTGCCTCATTAGAGAAACAGATCCAGTTGAAAAACTGACTATTATCACCAAATCGTGTCATCATTGTGTCGCAAAATTCTACTTTTCTATCAAAGTCGTCTTCGAATAGTTCCTAGACTAGATGTATTTTGTAAGGATGATAGTGATGTCTTTTGAAAATTCGACGGACTGATGTTGTTGCAATATATTGTTACAATAGCACCCAGATTTTTGTTAATTTGATGTTTTGAAATTTCTAAAAATCAGTAAGTTAACAAAAGTCAAGGCGTTATTATAATAATATATTCTTGAGACTAAATAAAGCAAGAAAATCTAGTACCACTTTTTCTTCCGACAAATAGTTAGCGAGATATCGTAAGTTAAATATTGAAAAAGTTATCAAGTTTTCCTCAAATATCTCAAAAAATATTAGACAAATAAAAAAATGTTTTAGTCAAAAATTGTTCTAATTAATTAGTAGAAAAAAGCAGTATATTAAAAAATAAAAGTTCAATACAAGTTCAAATACAACTTTTATTCAGATCATTTTCCTTGAAACTTCAATACTGAAGAGTTATTTGAGGTGGGACATTAAAATGGGACACCCTGTATATAGAGGGTGTCCTATTTTAAAAAACCCACTCAAATATCTCAGAAACACTGCGTTAAATCGAAAAATGCTTAAGACAAAAGTTGTTTACTTTAACCACTTGCGTTGGCAAAAAATTCACTGACGCGTGTACCAGAACGGTCCAGTGTAACTCGCTGAGAGGCGTCACACAGTGTTCGATGTCTTACAGAAATCGGAAAAAGATTTATGTTTTCTAAACTAATTTATTTTCGACCTAGGACTTTTAATAGCTTTTTGAAGGGAATATAGAGCGTCGATTAATTATAAAATTATACAAATATAAATATTTAATTTATTTATTAATAATCATGCAAAGTGTGGTATCTCTCGAAACAGTCTGGAACATGTAATGGTACAAGGCATTTCTTACATTCCCATATAGTTTCACTTCGTTTTTTGTGTTTGGTACACACTCTACACCTTCGCTGTGGATTCTTTTTGGCATTTATGTCTGGCAAACAATCCCACCCGACGTGCCACGCACGTCGTTTTTGTTTCTGTGACAATCGCATGACGACGTATATACCACGTCGTTGGCGATTCTGTGACAAAAGCATTACGACGTGCGTGGCACGTCTTTCCAGCGCAAGTGGTTAAAGGGGAATATAAGATAGCGATAGCATTTTGTTTATAGATGGCTCCATTTTCAAGATATTTATTGATTATCAATTTTCTTAAACGGAAATCTAAATTTTTTATTATATAAACCTTTTCTACCAATTAATTTGAACAATTTTTGTCTGAAACATTTTTCTATTTGCTTAATATATTTTGAGATATTTAAGGAAAACTTGATAACTTTTCCAACATTTACCTTACGATATCTCGCTAACTATTTGTCGAAAGAAAAAATAATATTAGAATTTATTACTTTATTTGCTATCAAGAATATACTACTATAATAGTGCTCTAACTTTTATTAATTTAATAATAATTTTGAAATTTTGCAAAGGTCGATGAGTTAATAAAAGTTAGGGCACTATTATAGTAATATATTCCTGATAATAAATAAAGTAAAAAAGTCTAATACTATTTTTTCTTTCAACGAATAGTTAGTGAGATATCGTAAGGTACATGTTGAAAAAGTTACCAAATTTTCCTTAAATATTTCAAAATATATTAAGCAAATAAAAAAATGTTTCAGACAAAAGTTGCTTAAATTTATTGGTAGAAAAAGATGATATAATAAAAACTGGGATTTCCATTTAAGAAAATTGATAATCAGTGAATATCTCGAAAGTGGCACCATCTATAAACAAATGCTATCGCTATCCTATGTCCCCCTTTAAGCTAAACAACTTCTGTCTTAAGCATTTTTCGATTTAACGTAGTGTTTCTGACATATTTGAGTGGGTTTTTTAAAATGGGTACCCCTGTACACATACACACACACACACACACACGCACGCACGCACACGCACACGCACACGACAAAAGAAGTATAAATTCGACTGGTTAACCTCCACGTGGTACATCTTGGCTAATGCCAGTAGCAGCGGTACAATTTCTATATGTATATGTATATATATATATATATATATAGAGAGAGAGAGAGAAAGAGAGAGAGAGAGAGAGAGAGAGAGAGAGATTCATATATTTGTTTCGTGAGAAAGCATGGTACAACTATAGGTTTTCATTGAGAGGTTGCTACTTTAAACTTCTCTGGACGGAAGATTATTGAATTTAGAGAGTCGTGCCTATTGAGACTTTCGTTCGAGATGTCGAGGACCATAATATACTTCAATTTCATCCAATTTAACCGAGGGTACATTGCCATAAGATTTGTGCGAGGTCCTTGTGAGAACCTTGGAATTTAAACGAACTCCGTCGTCGAATAAATGAAGAGATACATTTGATACCTTCTCATTTTTGCAAAAATGCCATTTTCAATTTTTATACTACACTGGCATATTGTCAGACTGTTAATGGTAAGCAATTTGAGTATTTATTATGAATGCAAACGTTCATGTATTTACGCACACTTAAATAAAAATATGTATGTATATACACACGAAACACACGTCGCGCATACACACACACACGCACACACAAAAGAGGTGTAAATCTGACTATACAACCTCTACGCGGTACGCCTTGTGTAATGCTAATGCCGGCGGTACTGCAACTTTTAAGTCTTGTAACTCGAAAAATATCTAATAGAAAGACATTTAGTTATAGTGTTTAGGAAAGTCCTCTAGATAAGCTACAAGAATATGTAATGAAAAATAGGTTCCATTTAAGAAATTTAAGATGATCTTCACCTAACCTTGACAACGCTATTCAAAGTCATAATAATATTGCCACATAATGCGCCTTATAAAACCCTACTAATTTTGTATTAAACATTTTTTTCTAAAATACGTATTTTCCGAGATATTAAGGGATTTCGATACTTTTCGTACATCCTGTATATGCATGTATTAGATTTATAATGTCTGGATTTAAATATTCGACGTTAATGTATACATAAAACTTATTGAACTAAAATAAATACCCACTAAAATAAATACTTATTAAATTAAAATAAGAGTGAGAGAGAGAGAGAGAGAGAGAGAGAAAGTGAGAGAGAGAGAGAGGGAGAGGGAAGGAGAGAGAGAGAAAGATTTCTTTTTATGGAGAATGCTCAGTTGAGTATGAAGAACAATCAGTCTTATTTGTAACACGACTAGTTTGCAATGACTAATTCTTTATTTGTCATTTCCTATGGATCATATATTTCCTAGATATTTATATTCTACGTTGTATTTTATTAAAAATACATATATTGCTTTGTGTTGTATAAGTTTTCATTTAGCTTTTTACATAAGAAAATGCATGCACGTCTTACTCATTTTTCGATTTTTGCCGTTCGTTAGAAAAATAGCAGAAGAAAGATATTTTCTTAAACGATATCCGTTACGGATCGCTAGATGAAGCATATCACCGTAGTAAGGACAGCGAAAGTGATCATTGGCCGTGAATTGCATTGCGATATCGGATACCGCGAGATTCGCTTCGATGAAAAGAAGATGGCATATAAATGACAAATCGTCGTCAGTGATGTCAAACGTCGGTTGGCTGTTGATAGTTTACGATCTTCACTACAATGGTTCAAAAGATAAATATCATGGTAACGATACACAAAGAAAGTTTTATATGCAAAAAAGAGTGTGTGATTCGTTTATTTTAGACATTCAAAATGAAAAAGTGAAACTTTATATATACAGGGTATCCGGGATTTTTTGGAAATGAAAAATTGTGAAAATTAATCAAATCAAATTGAGAAGAAAAGTCAAGTACTATTTTGCAAAAATCACTATGGTTATTAAGTTATTAATGACCATATCATACAAGCTTTTTTAATTGATAACATGAAAATTTGCGTACTTATTTGCAAAATTTATGGGCAAAACATTATCCTTCATTAATTCAGAAAATGGGAAAATGTTATGGGTGATCTAAATGTAACGACTGCGTCTTTATGTTTCAGAGTATCATTATCGGCATGTTTTTCCTTCTGTCATATGAAGTGCTAAATAGCAGAAGCATCAATAAGGAGCAGTGAGTGTACAACAGCGTTATGTTATTAAATTTATGCTTTTTTTTCGCGAATCGCGCGAAATCACGTATCTTTGTTAAGCAATGCTTAGTATTAAATACAGCAAAATTTTACTCTTTCTTGTGGCAACAATCGTACTCTGTGTTCACTCCCGTTTCCGTGAGTGGCAAATTAATGATATGCACCCATTTCTTTCGCACTTATTTCTTTCGCATGATTTTATTTCATAAGGATAACTAATTCAACATTCTTATATTAGTAATAGTCGGTTTTGTCGGTTCTGATTTGTTGGGTTTATTAGATTTGAGTTAATGATATAAGAAATGATGTAAAAATCAATAAATTTTTTTTTCTATTAATAGAGTGCATTTCAAGATTCATGTACCAGAAATCATAAACCGTCAAATTCATACGAAGATGGTGTTCATACACATTCACAAGCTGACTAATCCGACAATGCCGAAAAAGACAAAACCTAAGATGGAAATGCCGAAAACCTATGATAAAAAATGGCATCAAGAGAATTGGAGTTCTTGGAATACTTATGGCTATCATAGCGATGATCTAGCAGACAATCATATCATACCGGAAAATGCAAAGGATCATACGAGTAACGAGATTCACGATGGCAAAGACCGCAAGAAAATAAACCCATCCCTTCATCATCACAAAGACTCATATCTGCTCGCGTTGCAACACGATGACAAACCCAATCACTTGAAAAATCAACACAACGACATGATGGATTATCCTTATCCACCACAGTATGTGCAAGAGGATCTGAAGGAAATGGATCACAACAATATTGAACCTTATATGCACATGTATGAAGAAGGATATCATAGGGGCGGCGAATCTGCGAACGGATACATCTACTCGAATGATCTGACCAAATTTTATGATGATAAACACGAAGAAGGTGATCATTCCAACGAGAAGTACGAGAACGAGTCGAGGGAAAAAACACACGCCGGTCGTTACTTCGTAGATGACTCGGAATATCAGCACACTAACGATATATCAGAAAAGCGTGTGTCTCGCAGAATACGATTATCGTGAGAAAATAAGTCATGCTAGTGACGAATATTTGTTTTTCGTTCTTCAATATGTTGTTGGACAATTCTGACTGTGGAATGTTAGTTCCGAACGTTAATAAAAATATAAGATATCTTTCAATTTTAGTAACTTTAATCAAATTTTATATCTCTAATTAGTGATGGGGTGTTATTCCATTACCTGTTATTGAATAAATGTTACTAAGTCATAATTTTAGTAACTGTTATCAAATTTTTGAAATAACAATTAACAGATTAAACGGTTATTTTCATAAAATAACAATTTTACAAAAGCAACAATGTTTAAAATACGAAATTACTGCTTAATTGATTAATATTACGTTCCGATACACGCATTAGTACTAAAAATCTGTAGCATATCTGACATAAACGCTTTAAACATTTAGCCTTTCCGCAACCAAATTACATTGTAAACGCAAAAGAACTAGTTACTAGTGCTTTATTTAACAGCGCGGAGATTGAAAATAACTCAAATACAATTAATTTCAATACGTTGAAAAAGGAAATAAAAAAACGTAGACATTTCTGTTTGGTCTGCTTTTGATAAGACTGTAGCTATTACAAAACCTAGAGAAACTCTAATATCACGAATATTAGTAGAGATACAACGTTACATAGATGAAGACATCTTACACTGCTAAGCAGATCCTTTATCTTGTTGGAAAGATCACTTGGCTTTATTTCTCCATCTTTCAAAGCTTACGACAGAAAAATTATGTACATTAGGAACATCAGTTCCATGTGAACATTTGTCCTCCAGCTGGATTAATAATTAATGAAAGAAGAAATCTGTTACGTCCTGCGGACTCCGCGTACTCTAAATTTCAAAAAGGGTAAAAAAAGCGCCAAGTACACGCGCTCTTTACTCAAAAATTGTCCAACAAAAATTTTAATGTAGTGTTTCAGAAAAAAATATTTTAGAAGAACACATTTATTGATAAAATTTAATAATATTCTATTATTATTTTATTGCTGCGTTATTCTATTGCTATTTTTAACAAAAAAATAATAAGATCGGTAAATTTTCGCCAAGTGAATATTACAATACAATAGTAATACGTTATTTAGTTAATTATGATTTGTTATTATCCAGCAAATTTGTAAGTGATATGTCTAAAAAATTATTTAAAATTATATTTCTTACAAAATATATGATATCAATAAGTTAGGTAAAATATCAAAATTCCTATAGAAATAATAATGTTAAAATGTTGTATAAATTAAAAAATAATGTTGTATAAAGTAAAAAAATAAGAAAATAACGTATAAAACGTAATATTATATACATTATTGATAAAATTTAATAATAACCAAAAAAATTGTAATGTAATGTTTCAGAAAAAAATATTTTAGAACACATTCATTGATAAAATTTAATAATATTCTATTATTATTTTATTGCTGTATTATTCTATTGCTATTTAAAAAAAAATAATAAAATCAGTAAATTTTCGCCAAGTGAATTTACAATACAATAGTAATACTTTATTCAGTTAATTATGATAAAATTTATTTTATCATAAAACATCAAATAATACGTATAATAAAACATAATATAATAAAACATGTAATAATACATAGAATAAAACATCAAAAGCGCTTTAGATAGTTCTCTTAATACTGGCAATTTTAATTATACAAAACATTTTAGACAATTTTGACACTTGTTCAATGACAAGAAGTTTCAAAATTAAAATCGAGAGTTACAAAAAAGCACTTGGCACGTCCCGTTGCAATAAAGTACAAGTTTCACTAAATGCTTTAAACAATTCATTGATTGAAACTGAAATTGGATCTTTCTGGAAGTTTGTAATTTAATGTAACGGGGCGTGCCAAGTGCTCTTTTGTAACTCTCGATTTTAATTTTGAAACTTCTTGTCATTGAAAAAGTTTCAAAATTATCCAAAATGTTTTGTATAATTAAGATTGCCAGCATTAAGAGAACTATCTAAAGTGCTTTTGATATTTGTATATAATATTACGTTTTATACGTTATTTTCTTATTTTTTTACTTTATACAACATTATTTTTTAATTTATACAACATTTTAACATTATTATTTCTATAGGAATTTTGATATTTAACTTATTGATATCATATATTTTGTAGAAAATATAATTTTAAATAATTTTTTAGACATATCACTTACAAATTTGCTGGATAATAACAAATCATAATTAACTAAATAACATATTACTATTGTATTGTAATATTCACTTGGCGAAAATTTACCGATCTTATTATATTTTTGTTAAAAATAGCAATAGAATAACACAGCAATAAAATAACAATAGAATATAATTAAATTTTATCAATAAATGTATCCTTCTAAAATATTTTTTTCTGAAACACTACATTAAAATTTTTTGGTTATTATTAAATTTTATCAATAAATGTGTTCTTCTAAAATATTTTTCTAAAACATTATATTAACATTTTTGTTGGACAATTTCTGAGCAAACAGCGCGTGTATTTGGTGCTTTCTTTTTACCTTTTTTGAAAAGGTAATTTTATATGGATATCACTTCTTTTTTCCCTATCATTTGCACTTTAATTATTGTTTTTTCCTATTCTTATTTAAAATTAAATTGTAAATTCAAATATACTTATTTTCTATTGATATAGAACTAATAATTATACATATATCTTAATAAAAGAACACATTTATTAATAAAATTGTAATAAATATATTTATGAATAGAATATTAAAAATTTGTTAATTATAAAGTATAAAAACGGTCTCACCTCCACCCCCGTCATAAATTTTAAATTTTATTTTATAACTTGAATATGATGGTCCTCTTTACTAATCTTATCGCAAAACAGTACATTATTTAATATGTACCATCAATTGTTGCTAATTTTATTTGTTATCTAATATATACATTATTTATTTCCAATTTTATGCAAGAATATTATACAGGGTGTTATAAAAGTCCCGGAAGAGCAGAATAACTCGAAAAATATGAGACCTAGAAAAAATGCGAAGTACTGGATTTTTATGATTTTTTCCTGGCTATCTGAAGGTGACCTTGGGTTTGACCTTGACGATGACCTTGAAGGTAATTTCAAGGTCAGGTCAATTTTTTAAATCGGACCCCATATTTTTTATCCCAGAAATGAAAAGAGCGGAAAACTTTATGTTTGGATATTACTTTGAACACTGCCAAATTTGACCTCTGAAGGTCACATAAAGGTCTAAGCTTGTTTTAGGCTGAAAACGCGAATATCTTCAAAAATACACCTGCTAGGGAGCAATAGTACGCATAAGAATAAGAATGTAGAGGTCAACGAGGGACATTCAGCCGTGACTTTGCCCTTATTCTCAAGGTCATGAGTTAAGATTATTATTAAGGTCAAACCGGACTTTTTAGGACTGAAAATCCATATTTTTGACCTAAAAGTGTCAAGATTGAAAAATTTTACGTTCGGATATGACGTTTTCAACCTTGAGCTTGTTCTAAAAATTATGCTACTTCTTATGTTACTTCACTGATCGTGGAGTCTACTGAAAGTAAAGCGTCTCGGAACCCGACCACTGAAGGCAAGGTGACTCAAACCCGACCACTGAAGGCAAGGTTCAGTTAGTCCCGGCCACCGAAGGCAAAGCATCTTGTAACTCGGCCTGAGATTCCAAGAGATGTTCAAAATGTTCCCCATTGACCGTTTGACAGTGTGTTAAGCGGACGTACAAATTGTCAGTCGCACTCCTTATCATTTCTGAAGATATTGCAGCACATTCGTCTATGATCCGTTGTTGAAGCTCATCCAGGTTACGAGGTTTAGTGAAATAAACTTTATTTTTTATGTAGCCCCAAAGAAAGAAATCATGTGGTGCAATGTCGGGCGATCTCGGTGGCCATTCGATTATTCCTCTTCTACCTATCCAGCTATTAGGGAAAGTATCGTTTAAATAGTTCCGAACAATGCGTCCATAATGTGGCGGTGCCCCATATTGCTGGAACCAAACATCATCAAAATTATCACCAACAATCTCCTGTATTGATGGAACAATTTGGTCTGTTAGAAGCTGCAGATAGGTTTCTGAGTTCAAATTCCCATTTATAAAGAAAGGCCCAACCACTTGATTATCATAAAGACCTGCCCAAACATTTAATTTTTGAGGTCGCTGCGTATGTGCTTCAACCATCCAATGAGGATTTTCGTTGTCCCAATATTTAAAATTATGACGGTTTACCTTACCAGTAATTTCAAAAGACGCTTCGTCTGAGAAAACGATATTATGCAAAAAGTTCGGTTGCTGATCAATTCTTTGCATCATAACTTCTGAAAATTGCACCCTGCGGTCAAAATCATCCTCATTCAACTCATGGTGGAGATGAATTTTGTAGGGGTGGAACTTAATAGTCTTTAGATTTTTGGAAATTGACAATACACTCATTTGAAGCTGTTGAGATGTTTTTCTAATTGACAATCTGGGATTTTCAACAAATGATTGGGCTACTTCAAATTGTCGCTCTTCTGTCGTTTGGGACCTTGGCCTCCCAGATTTTTGGCGGTTTTATTACTCCCAGTTTCTATAAATCGTCTGATGGTGCGAGATAGTCGATATTGAAATACCTTCGCCTTCATTACGAAAGTTTTCATTAAACAGCAATCTCACTTCACTGTATGACCTTTGTCTATCCCCCTATCCTCTCATCATCAATAGCGAAACTCTTTCACGCTCTGTAAGAGAAGCCATTTGGAATTGAAAACAAAAAATTTGCAAAAATTTTGTAAAAAGATTCGGTTTCTTTACCTTTAAATAAAAATAATAAGTAATGTACCATTGATCGTTAATAATAATATGATAATAATTCAAAACGGACTAGAATGACAACAAAACTTGTTAAATCGATGAAAACTCAAAAACAATCTATTATCTGTTTGACACTGATAGAATCGAGACAAATAAAAACTTTGAAGCATACACTTTATTGATGGCGAATAAATTTTTTGGATACCGATCCTGGGATTTTT